GAACATATGTGAATAACAATATACAATAAAAGAAAAGTCAAGCATTAACAAAAAAAATGCCAAAACAATACCATAAAGCTTAAAAAATCATAAATTTAAACAACTACAGTAGAAGCAATGGAAACAGGACACTAACCAAAAGGCATGAACTATGACAAATAATCTATGCAATGTCAAAACACCTAAAGAATAACAACAATAAACACAAGCCTTAATTCTAAGTATTTGGAGTCAGCCACAAGAAACCATAATCTTAACCGTTCATAATCCTCCATATAGATACTATGTTACCATTTCTGTAACAAGACAAAATCATATTGCATAATACAGTTAAAGTACCTAATCAAACAGTATAATGGCACAAATCAAGCTAACACTCTAAGAGCCATGCATTAAATATTACCGGTACATAGTGCATGTAATCAATATCAAACATCTATTAGTGATACAAAATAAAGCACACCGCAATAAACCAACGCAGAAGTTCCAACCAATGGCCATAAGCACAACCACAACCCAAGAAACCCAAACCCACAAAGGAACAAGACGACGTGCAACCCAAAAAATTCAAAAGAAAAGAAATTTACCCGTGTAAATCGCCACCACTGTCTCTCGCCTCGAGTCTAGTAGTGATACAGAAATGGGTCTCAAGGAACTCTTTCAGAAATGAGTCTAGTAGTGTTAAGAAATGAGTCTAGTAGTGCGAATAAAAGACTCTCGCATCGAGTCTAGTAGTGATACAGAAATGGGTCTCAAGGCACTCTTTCAGAAATGGGTCTAGTAATGTTAAGAAATGAGTATAGGGGGGTGTTTGGTTTAGGAGAAATTTTAAGAATAATAGGGAAATGTTATTGATAGGAAAATGGGGGAGAAGTGAGTTTGATAGGAAAATGTAAAAAAAGTTGTTTGGTTGTAAAAAAATTTACCGGGGAAATTAGATAACATTTATAAAATCTATGTTTGGTTGTAGGTAAAATATAGATAGGAAAAAAATATAATATTACAAAAATAACCCTCGTCTTTCAAGCGTCTTCTCTCTTTCGCTCTGAGTTTTTGGGTATTAGTGGATTCCACAGTAGCTGATATTGAGAGCTTGAAGGGTCTGGTTTGAAAGGAGAGAGAAGGAAGAGAGGGTGTAGAGAGTTTGTTGAAGCATAGAGAACTCCATAGCAGGAGCACCCCTTTCATCTTCTTTCTATCACAGCGGATATTATCGCACCTCTTGGATTAAGAGTTCTGTTTTCCTTGTTGCAGATGTACTGAAGATCCTAATGGAGGCTCATCCTGAATTGTCAATGACTATTGATCCATCCAACACCACGGCTTTGCACACAGCTGCAACACAAGGGTATATTGAGATAGTGAAATTTCTATTACAAGCAGATAGTAGCTTGGTTACCATTGCTAGAATATCTATTACAAGCACACAGCTGCACACAGCTTTGCATTCTGCTGCGAGAAATGGTCATGTGGAGGTTGTGAAAGCACTTCTGGAGAAGGAGCCTGGGGTTGTAACACGGACATTCCACATGATTGCCATTTTCCTTTTACGCGCAAAGTCAGGGTAGACTTGTCTTTTGTTTAGAATTCAGTCTGAGCAATTAGGCAGCTTTCCTTGAATACCACACTGCCCATAGGATAAATTTGGCCGGCTAAATGGACAGAAAACATATGCATCTAGCTTATGTAGGAAACTGAGTTAGGTGGATAAATGTGAAAAAACCTTCAAGCAAACATGGTTAACTTAGATGCCCATCTATCATTTCCCTATCAATCTCAACCAAATCCCTTAACCAAACACCCCCTAGTAGTGCGAATAAAAGACCTTTCGTTGTCTAGCAGATGGTCCAACTTCTATTCGATGAAGTTAGTTTTTTGTCAAAGAAATTTCATCAAAATTTCAACTTCTTTTTATATTTATTTATTTATTAGGTTTTCGAAGGAATTTATTTTTCATCAAAAAATATAATTTATTTTTTTATAAGATTTTTGACGGAATTAATTTTCATAATTTTTTTTTTCACAAATATAATTTCTTTTATGATTTATTTTCTTATGAAATTTTTAACGCAATTATTTTTCCGTCAAAAATTTCAACGGAATTTGATTTCTGTTGAATAAATATAATTTTTTTATGTTTATTTTTTATAAAGTTTTAGACAGAATTTGTATTTCGATGAAATTTGATTTCTTTCGAAAAGTTCATAAATATAATTTATTTTATGATTTATTTTTTTATAAAATTTTGGACGAATTAATTTTTTGTCAAATATTTTTGACATATGTCGAAAGGTTTATAAATATGATTTCTTTTTATAAGATTTTCGATGAAGTTATTTTTCCGTTGAAAACTTTCGACAAAATCTGATATCCATTAAAAGATTCACAAATATAATTTCTTTTAACATATATTTTTTCTAAAGTTTTTTACGGAATCTATTTTTTGTTGGTAATTTTTGACGGAATTCATTTTCCGTCAAATTTTTTTTTACGAAATATAGTTTCATCAAAAAATTCAACAGAATAGTTTTCCTTTGTAAATTTCTTCATTAGTTTTTACAGAATATTTTCTATCAAAAATTGAAACTTTTCTAATAGTTTCATATATTGGATTAATATTTAAAAAATTATTTTGCAATAAAAAATTCATTAATATTTTACTAAAATTATTTAAAATGCAATCTTATCAAATGTTGATCGTAAAAGTTTTGTAAATTCATACTGTTCTTATAAATTTATTAAAAATGTTTAAATTTGAAGAATTTTTATCCCAATTTTATTAATGTTAATCTAATACACCCGCTAAATATAACTTATGGAAAAAGTAATTCCATTTCTATTTTCTTTACCTCCATAGGTAGCGGTGTAAGGATTATACAGGCCTATGGACTAGCATGTATTGGGTTAGGCTTGGTCTATTACAAATTATAAAATAAAACGGCCTAGACTTTTAAAAAATTTTATTTAGAAAATAGGCCATAGGCTTTTATGTGTATGTCGAGCCTATAAGTCTACAGGCCGTATTATTTATTTTTAATAAAATAAATAAAATTATTATTTTAATAATTCTGAATAATAAAGTAATATTAATTTAGTTATTTTTTTTAATTGTTTAATGTTCAAGAGGCTCAAACAGACTAACAAACTTAAAGAGGTGTATTGGATTGAGATTTCAAAGGATTTTAATGGATTATTTTGGGACAAAAAATTCATTAGTATTCAATTAGGATTTTAATGGATTGAAAAAAAAGTCATAGTGATATTCGATTAGGATTTTAAAAGATTATTTTAGAGTCCGTCCAAATCATTTGGTATTCAATCAAGATTTTAAACAATGAAAAAATAATCTTGCGATCTTCAAAAATCTATTGATTTTAATGGATTTTCTATTGGTGTGGATTTCGTGAGACTTTTTAGTAAGAAATATAAATAGGATGTTTTATTTTTTGAATACATAAATAGGATGTCTCTATCACAATCTTACCATAACTCTTGAGATTTGTTGAGATTTCTCTATTGCAGTATTTTCTTCTTTCTTTGGCAGGTTGACCTGCTCAAAATCGAGTTCCGTCATAGGAGCTTCGTCAAAACTCAAAATAGCATATTTTTTAGCCATTTTTTGAAAATTTTGGAAGTTTAAAAAATTATTTTTCAAGCTATGGCTCGCAATTTGTCTTGGCACAAAAATGTGTGATTTTTTATTTAAAAAATTAAAATAGTGGAAAAATAATATTCAAATCAATTTTCGTTTTACATCAATGAAACAATATCAATTTAAAGAAAGATTGAAACTTTCATAATATGAATCCTATATTTCATAACAATACATTTGTGAACGAAATTCCTTCACTATATGAAACAATTTTAAATAATTTTTGTATCAATAAATAACTAAAAATTTGTTTTTTAAAAGTCCCAAAGCAATTTAAGGTTTCAATGTATTGATTAAAAAAAAAAAAAATTTCTAAACTTTTATGTAATAAAACCCAGAAATTCATATTCAAAATTTTCTTAAAATATTCAATGAAAATATGCATATGATATAAGGTTAGAAAACTCGTATCACGTAGAACAAAAATTTCAAAATTTTCAAGATCAATTGCGAAATATTCCAAATGAAATTTTATCATGAACTTTAGGTTCTATATGCAAATTTAGAATTATTTTAATAATTAAAAAATTAGGTCTTGTAATCATATATGCATAGCTTTGATACCAAATGAAGAAGATAAATTTCAACCTATTGGTCAAACTCAAGAGCATGAATGAGAAAATGCTAATGCGTCGAGGACTAGTATAACTTTAGATATGTGAAGAACGATTGCTTAGTAATTTTGAATGTTTGTTAAAAATTATATTATGTTTTATTAATTGAGAAAATTATATTAGATTTTACTTTTTTTGATTAATTTAATTACATTTATTTTTTTATTGACTCTTGTAATTTTGAATGTTTGTTAAAAATTCACATGATTTTTTAAAATCTTATAAATTCACATTGTCATTTCAAATCTTATAAATTTTATTAAAATCCTTTAAAATCCAATCTTATGAAATCTTGATTGTAAAAAAAGTCTTTTACAAAAGTATTTAAAGTAATTCAAATTCTAAATAATCTTTTAAAATTTATAAGATTTTTTATCTCAAAAAAGCCTTTTAAAATCCTAATTCAATATACCCTAGGCCAAAACTTTTATTTTTTAAATATAAATCATGCGAGCTTATAATTTGGGTCCTACAAAGACAGACTAAATATTTTTTCAAAATTTTTATTTTTTAAATACAGGTCATGTCAACTTGTAATTTGAGATCTAAATAGACTAATAAATCAGATTAGACTAAATATTTTTATACAAACCTAATCTATTTAAAGCAAAGTGTAACCTAAATCTAACCTGTTTAAGTAAGACACCGATTTAAGCATATTATTCTCTTAACAAAGATATTTGAAGCGCTGTCGTTTTCCTCATCCACCTCGACTTTAAAATAAAAACCCTAATTGGAAGTTGCAGAGCACGAGAAACCAAAGCTGAAAAACCCTAACAATCTAGAGGCAAAAAAATGGGGGGCAAATGTCCGCACAGACACGTGAAGAAAAGAAGATATTCTCACAAGACTGCTCGCCGTACCAAATTCCTCTACAAAGATATCCTTTTTGTTACGCTTGAATTTTGTCCCAAATCAATTATTTTCTCTTTCTTTTGGAATTCATTGGATGTGATTCTTGACATGTGAATTGGACACGGGATGACATGGTTTATGCGCAGCTAAATCAGCATGATGAAGAGAAGAGCACTTTACCTGTAGATGAAGATTTGCCTGGGATGGGCCAGTACTATTGCCTTCACTGCGAGTCTGTTTCTAATTTCTTATTCTTGCTCATTATGTTTTCTCTCTCTTTTTTATTAATATAAAAAAGTTTGCAAATTTAATGATTCTATTATACGGGGTTGAAAAGTTTGGGTGTTTACTAGAACACTGCTATGCAAAGTGCAGGTAGAGAATTTGGAGTAACTTGGGAGGCAAATTTTTCATTTATTCCCATTTTGCTTATTCATTTTATTTTGATTATTAAAGACGCTAGTTGGTTGTGTTTTTTTATGTTGGTTGGGTTTTTTATGCATCATGAGTTATTCTTTTGATATATGCAGTCGATACTTTTCCAATGTAGCTGTGAGGGATGAGCATTTTAAGACCAAACGACACAAGAAGCGGTATGGTAGCTTTGTTTTTGCTGATATTCTCCCTGCTCCCACCCCCTTTATTTTCTATCCTTTCCAACATTTTCCGCATTTGCATATTGGTGAATATTGGTTAGGTTGATGGTATTGCTTTTGAATTTTGAGGTTCTATGAAGTTTTCTGTAAGAGTTTTTGGATGTTTGAAAACATAAAGCAGTTGGACACTATGAAAGGAACATATCTTGATTTCTAACAAGGATGTAATTGAGTGGAGTTTAACTGAAAACTACTAAGCTCAATCTTGTTTTGCCAAAATGTATTGAGCTTGAGCTTTTAATCGACCTGAAATTTATGCATAGTCTAGGCTCGGTTATTAAAAGGAAATGGCCAAGCTGGAAGACCCAGTAAAGATTATGAATGGGAAGTGGTTAATGAAGTCATGCTCTTGGTTAATCCTTAATCAGTTCTATGCTTGATTAATCACCTACCTCTGTCCTAAATATTACCGTAGCTTGCCTTTTTGCCAGTTTTTCCCCATGAATAAATAAGCTTATGCCAGCTTCTTGTATACAGATACGTAAATTATATTAATATAAAAAAAGTTGTGAACTTCTATTATATGCCTAGGTTATACGAAAATATTTATAAATGAGTTAGGATCATTTTACACCAGTGTAAGTTACACTCTTAATATTGACCGTTTATCCTGTTTATATCTAACGACTCTGATTTGTTAAATATATAAGACGTTAGATGTAAGTAAATCAATGGTCAATATTAAGTGGAAAACTTCTTATGCACCTTTAGAAATATATAGATGAACTTAAATAACTTAGTTGTTTTATCAAATAATTGAGTTGTTTGTTGCAAGATTAACAAGCCATACATAAAACACTAAACAAGCTAAACAACTTATCTAACGCCTCTACCCCTGTATGTTTCACTAAACAAGCTTAACATGTTGATCTGACCAAGTTGGAGCTTTTAACGAGTTGAATCCATGTATGTCACGAATAGCTTGGCACATTTGCACCTCCATATGTCATTGTTTGGTTGTTCAAGAATTGGGTTTTACATGGTTCCAAGGTGCTTAAATTGGTTCCAATAACAGCCGTGTCTGGATTTGATGTCCTAAGTCCGGTTTAGTCTTTTTGGGATCTGTTGGATTTGGATCTTAAATTTCATGTTCTGCAAACTCTTTGAATTTATGTATTATTACTGAAGTGTATTGAACTTCAATTTGAACCTATCCTTCTAGTTCAATACAGGCATGACTGAAATTAAATTACTTTTATCTACTTTATTTATAGTTTAGCTTTCCCAACTTTTTTACTGGGTTTAACTTGGGGTAGAAAATCGAACCTCTTAACATTAAACATCATACCTACGTCTTGAAAGGACTTTGCATAATTGCCAATTTAGCTGCAAACACGTTGGCAGATTTCCCACTTTCCATATATCGGAGTGGAATGATATTGTTTCTGATATTACTGTTTCTTTGTGCAGTGTAAAACAAATGATGGGTCCTGCTCCACATACTCAACTTGATGCTGACTTAGCTGCAGGAATGGGTATGCCAGACAATGGACCAAAGCTAATGTCTATGTAGCCTTATATATTCTGTGGTGGGTGGAGAGATTGTAAGTGAAGCTGCTATTATAAGATATGATGTTAGTATATTACAATATAAGCAAGATTATCTTTCTTTTTTCAATTTTTTTTTTTAATTCCTTCTATTGAGCCTGTTACATCTTGAATGTAAGCAAACAGAGTTTGAGAGTGATGGGAATTAGGAAAGAACTTTTTTTATAGTGGATTAATGTGTATTGCCTTAATAGTGAAATTTTTTGACTACAATAACAACTAATATGATTTCTTCAATTGATATCATGATATTAAATAATAGTTTAAAAATAACTGCTATAAGTCCATACAATTGTTGTTTCAATTTTATATTGGTAAACTGAACACTGCGTATCTGGCTTGCATTGTATTAAGGTAGCATCTTAAATTTATGGAATGGCCAAGTGATATTTTAGATAGTGATAATTAAGTGATGTAACACGTTATTGGAAATTACTGATTGAATAAAAATAAAACCCTTCAATTCGAAAGGTCATTTTACTTCTCATAACTACGCTTTATAAACATGATTAAAAGTTTAAAAGTGATATGTAGCTTGGACCACTAAGTGTTTGCTAATAGCATCTTCAAGAAAATGCTTTGCTTATGTTACCACTCTTAATAGTCTCTCTCAACAACCAAGGTTGGCGGTATATCATTCTAATACACGTAATAGGCATAAACAAAATGAAAGACAAGGTGACCAAGACAAACGAAAATCAGGGGCAACAAAATGAAAGGGATCTTCAGAAATAGCGACCATTTACTAAGCAGGTTGGGTTGTGTTCTTATTAATGAACTCATGAAATATCTTTTTTAACTTGTTCCCAAAAAAATTAAGTAAGAGTATCGTTCCCACGAGGACTAAATTCAAGCAATATTTTCACCGTTTTTATCTAAGTTAGACATCCAAAAGGTGTTTTCAAAGGTAACCAATATTCAATTAAAAATCAAATAAGGATGACTGTAAAAGAGATTAATTAAAAAGCTAATTCGAAATAAGAAGCGAGTTTAAAATCAAGAATAAAGACCGTAGCCAGGATGCACTTCACCTCTGATCCTCCCTTATATTCCTATATTGTATTTTATAATTAACTAATTTGTTTGCTCAGACAATTCATTATTTTCCTATAAAATAGTTTAACCCTAATGTCTTAGTGATTTCAACCCTTTAACCTAATTAGAATCCTAGTGTCCTAGTAATCCTTCTTGAATTAAGCATTAAGCAAATGAATTAAAAGTCTGCAATCTATGTAAGCCTATGTCTAGGTCATGCGCAAATTGTTATTCTACCCTTGTCTAGATTAAAACCCAAATATGTCTATTGTGAGTCCTAACCCTCAAAGTCTTATAATTAGAGTGGCCAGTTCTAATCAGGATATGGAAAAATTAACACAGGTAGAATAAAACAAACTAACTAATTAACTTATAAAAATAATACAGGAAATATAAAGAATTCACATTGGTCCATGATCCCAACTACAAAAAAAATTAGCCAGACATATTCATGTCTGAGTTAAACAAATTAAAATAAGAAAAATTGTTCATGAAAGAAAAAGAAAAGAAGAAGAAGATAAAAGATCAATGTTCTTCAGTCTTCAACTCCGTTGGAATCCTGATCTCTAGCGCGAGTCTCCAAGAATTCTCTCAATTCTCTGTTCTCACAATTCTCTCCAGCCAAAGATGATTTGTCTCTGAGGTCTGAGTCTCTATTTATAGAGTTTGTACCTTGCTTAGAAATCTTGATCAAATCTTCATCATATATTTGGATCCAATCTTTCTCTGATACAATCGAGAATAAATTAAAGATTTTCCCATACTTCCAATTTTGGCTTCTTTTTGTCCTGTTTTCCTACAAAATTATAAGAAAATCAATGCCAAGATATCTGATTGAGATTTATCAATTTAATAATAATTCTAGCCCTTTTTATTTAAGATTGATCAAGATTCTTTCTCTTTTTGGCTTAAAATCATATAAATGCTAGAGGCATATCACACCGGGATCATGGCTTCGCAACCATATGTCAGTCGAAAAGGGGTTTCCCCTGTTGCAGTTTAGGTACTCGTTCTGTATCCCCAAAGGAAAAAGTATAGCTGTTGAACCCAACTTTCTTCGGCATCAAACATCCATTTTTTGAGACCGTCCACAATTACTTTGTTTGATGCTTCAGCTTGCCCATTCGACTGTGGGTGCTCCACAGATGCAAAGCGATGTTTAACTTGTAAGTCTTTCAACAATTGTTGGAACTTTTTATCAGCAAATTGCATTCCATTATCAGTTACCACCTCGGCCGGTATTCCAAATCTGGAGACAATATTCTGTTCAAAGAACCTTTGTACTCTAGCCGAGGTGATGGTGGTGACTGGTTCTGCTTCTATCCATTTTGTGAAGTAATCCACAGCTACTATCAACCACTTTAATTGTCCTTCAGCAGCTTTGAAGGGTCCCGGCAAATACATTCCCCATTTGAAAAAGGGCCATGGAGCCGAGATATATTTCAGTTCTTCAGGTGGTGAAAGAATTAGCTTGGCATGCTTCAGGCAGCTGTCACATCTCTTGACATGTTCTTTAGAGTCTGCCTCCATAGTCGGCCAGTAATAACTAGCTCGGAGGGCCTTTCTAGCCAAAGCTTTGCCTCCCATGTGATGTCCATTGATTCCTTCATGTATCTCGGCCAGAACATATTATGCTTCTTCCGAGTTCAAACATTTCACCATGGGGATATGCAACCCCTTTCTAAACAGCTGATCGTTCACAATTGTGTATTGTGCCGCATCTCGGACTAGCTTCTTGGATTCCAGTCGATCCTCTGGCAATGTTCCTTTCTCAAGGTATGCCACTATGGGTTGCCTCTAGTCATTTGCTGAGGTGATGATCATCACGCAACTCGGCATAGTTATGCTTTGTTGTACCACGGTTCTGTGGTTACCTGGATTTTTTGTACTTGCGAACTTAGACAAGATATCAGCTCGACAATTTTCCCCTCGAGGAATATGAGTAACTTGCACTTCATCGAAGTCAGCCATCATCTCTTGAACCTTGCTCAGGTATTTCATCAATAGAGGGCCTTTGGCCTGATACTTTCCTTCTATCTGCGAAGTCACCAATTGTGAGTCACTGAAGATTTTTACCTTTCTGGCTCCGTGTTCTTTAGCCTGCACTAATCCGGCTATCAAAGCTTCATACTCTGCTTGATTGTTCGAAGTTGGGAAACCCAAGTTCAAGGAGTGTTCTATTGTCACTCCTTCTGGACTTTTAAGTATGATTCCAACTCGATTTCCTTTATTGTTGGAGGATCCATCTACATAGACCTTCCATGCATCCCAAGATTCATTATGTTCCGGGTTCAACGGTGTTAGTTCCATTATGAAGTCGGCCAGAGCTTGCGACTTGATGGCCTTCCGACTTTCATATGTTATGTCATACTCACTAAGCTCAATTGCCCAGTTAGTCATTCTTCCTGCCAAGTCAAGCTTATGCAACACCTGTCGTATAGGCTGATTAGTCCGGACTATTATTTGATGTCCCTGAAAATATGGCTGCAATCTTCTAGCCGTGATCAGCAAAGCGAAGGCCACCTTTTCTAGCTTTTGATATCTGACCTCTGCACCTTGTAAGGCTCTACTGATGAAATAAATCGGCTCTTGGCCTTTATCGATTTCCTTGATCAGGATAGCACTTATTGCCTCCTCCCCCCACAGCCAGATACAGGATCAGAATATCTCCTAGTTCTGGCTTTGAGAGAACTGGTGGAGTTGCCAAGCATTTCTTGACCTTTTCGAACGCAGCTTGACATTCCGTATTCCAGCCTTCCATTGCTTCCTTCTTTAATAATTTAAAGAATGGGAGGGCATTCTCAGCAGACTTTGGTAAGAACCGGGTTAATGCAGCTAGTCGACTGGTTAACTGCTGAACCTCTTTTTTATTCTGGGGTACCTTCATATCAAGTACTGCTTTGCACTTGTCAGTGTTTGCTTCAATCCCTCTATGGGTTAACATGAAACCCAAAAACTTCCCAGCTAGGCCTCTAAACGCACATTTTACTGGGTTTAGACGAATGCGATACTTCCTGAGCTTCTGAAAAGTATGCTCAAGATGCTGGACATGATTTGTCATATCAAATGACTTTACAATCATATCATCAATATATACTTCTACGTTTTTGCCCAGCTGATCTTCAAATACTTTATTCATCATCCTTTGATAAGTTACCCCTGAGTTTTTAAAGCCCAAATTGCAAGAAAAAGCCTTGAAGGTCGTAGGCATGTGAGGATGAAAACAAAAATTTTCAAAGCGGAAACACACATACCAATCAAGATACATACTCTAGGACAGAGAGATACCTTGTTTGTAACTCAAAACTTGAAGGTGATCAGTGTTAGGCTTGAAGGTTCAAACCCTCTAATGTTGATCCACACCACCTTTTGTAAGACGCAAGAACTCTTCTTGAAAAGCCACCAATTCGAACACCACAAAGGAGCAAGCTAGGCGTCCTTTGTGAAGAGGTAGGAGGCTCGGTTTCAATATGTTTAGATGAGAGAATTTTCAGCAATAAAACTCACACAAAGTAGCGCACAAATTGTAGGACAGAATGGCCTTTTTATTTTCCAAAAAAAACTAAGGAGAATATCACAAAAAGGAAACACTTAAGGAGATGAAAGAGGAATAAATTTGAATCAGATTTTTCACCAAAAATCTGATCATAGAGCGCCCCTTTTGTGGAGGAAAGAGTGGAGTTGTTGCAAATCAAATCTAGTCAAGAAACTCCTATCTTATCCTCTTAAAACTAAGTCTGCACCTAGTTAATATTCTGACCTAATAACCATTATATGATCAGCCATATTATGCGCCCCAATCAACCCAAAATCATTCCAAAAATATTGATTAATTGCAGTTCAAATTGAATCAACTAAATCAAATATTTCCACAACCAACCAAATCTGAATGGAGCTTGATTTGTTGATTAAATGACCATCATTAAGCCACCAAATCAGCGCCCCAATCATCTTTGATGATGTCCAAAGATCTCCTCTTGATACTTGGGAATTGATCTTGACAAGATACTATCAAGATCTTATCCTTTCCTTTTGTTATGAAACTTCCTTTCATATCCAATTCAAATTTGAACATTCTAATTTAAATATTCAAATATTTAAATTCATAATTCAAATTCATAATTCAAATTTTAAATTTAAACATTAGATAATTAATTTAACTAATTAAATTAATTAATAAT